CTGCTGGCTGTAATGGTCGGTTAAGGGTTTAGGCCTCATGAAGCCAGGTACATATGGAAAGCGGTTCATACGCAACCCGCCAGATCCAACAGAGCAACTGTCGTCATCAAACCACATGTCCGAGAAGAACATGCTTGTAGAAACACAACACCCCAAAATGAATCATGGAAACAGCAACCCGGACACCCACGGAAGCGAATCGCGAGCGGCCAATCTTACACCCTACAGCCATGTGCCCACAAACTGCTTTTGGAACTGGCATACCCTAAACCTTAAAAGAAAACTGCCAACAAACCAAAAAACCCCAAACAATTGCCAAACTTGAATACTCGAGGTTAAAGTCATAAAACTGCGGCGATGACAAAGCAAACACATGCGCGCAATGGAGCCTTGCAAAACATGAACCCAATTGTGGCCAGTGACAGCGGCATGCAAATATTGAACTCTTAGTTAGACCCTGACGTTACGACGGCGCAGCAGATCTGGAAAGCGAAACGTTACTCACGCTTTAGGAAGCAAAACTCCATCGCACACATACACCGCAATGCGAAACTAAACAAGATTCACATACACCCCAAATCCTACAACGAGCTACGGGCAACAAGCCTTAAGCCCGAAAACGGGTTGTGATCCGTAGCCGCAGACTTTGTAAACAGCAATCGATAGCGCAGCAACCCGACCACTTGAACCCACCCTTAAGCTGCAACTCGACGAAAACCCATGTTGGACTTTGAACCTTAACTTTTAAAGCTTCGGGAGTCCTGAACTGCACAGTGTAGAATCTTAGAAGTACACATGCAAACGAACCATGGTCAAGGAAGCGATGCTGCCACTTGCCTATCCCAGACCCACGGATGAACCGTAGAAGCAGCGGTAGATATCCAACCAGTACCGCACAAAAAAGGCGCTCGCAGACACCACACCCGAAACGAATCATGGCAAACCTTAAACCTTCAGGCAATTTGTTGGATGGATATCGAATCACGTTTCTTGCAGGCTATGTGCCCAGAAACGGTTGCTCGATCTGGCAAGCCCTCAACCCTGGAAAAAAAACTTGGCAGCAAACCGACACAATCACTTAACGTCAAAATCCATCTTAAGGGTGCCTAGCTGCGGATGGCAAACAACAAGGCAAATGCTTGGAAACCACTGACGACCCATGGCCGCAGCAAACCTACGCTTTAAGGTTCTCAAACGAGGACTGTGCAGCAAAGGTGGAAGCCAAAAGCTACTTCTCCTTGGAGAACCAACCAAACACAATGGCGGATACACCCAAACCCGAAAATGAGCGACGGGGAGCAAACAAACCTTAAGCCCTAAAATGACCGGTGATCCGTGGCCGTAGACCGCGCAAATAAACTACACAGACCCCGGCGACTGACGGCAACTAGCATACCCCCAAACATGCATATTGGACCACGAACCTTGGACCTTAAAGTGTCAGGGAACCCTTAGCAGCAAAGTGCAGCAGTTCACACGACAAGCAAACCGTGCTCACCAAAGTGATGATGCTTTTGCCGATCCTGAAGCCACACATCAAACCACTGCAACAGTAGATATCAAACCACCGTGCCAAAAAAAAGTACGCAGACACCACACCCCAAAACGAATCATGGACAAAACAACCCTGAAACGAATCGCGAGCAGCAAACCTCAAACTTTCAGGCAATTGGATAGATAGCGAGCCATACTTCTTGCAAGCGGCTTTGGGAACTGGAATACCCTAAACCCGAAAACAAAACTGGCAGCAGACCAACCAAATCCCAAACAATTGCCAAACTTGAATACTGGAGGTTAGTCATGAAGCAGCGGCGATGGCAAAGCCTTTACATGCACGCAAGGGAGCCTGCAAACCACCCGGCGCCCACCACGGACCCATGGCAGTGCGAAGCTTCAAACTCTGATTGCCAGGCAAAACTGGAACTGAAAGCTACCCGTACTTTGAACAACACGTGTTATCAGCAAATTCTAAACAAAACTAAACGACTGATAAATCCCAAACCCAACAACGAGCACCAGGCAGCAAACCAAGCCGTACACTTACCTTGCGAATCACACAGCAGCATGATCCCATAGAGCAACCACATTTCCGAGAAGAACATGCCTAACGAAACACTACACCCCGAAATGAATCATGGAAACAGCAAACCCCGGAAGCGAATCGAGAGCGGCCAATCTTACACCATACAGCATGTGCTCCACAAAATGGTTTCAGAACTGGCATACCCTAAACCTTAAACGAAAACTAGCAGCAGACAAACAAAACCCCAAACAATTGATTAACTTGGTTTATTTTTCTTTGTGCAAGGCGTTGCGTCAAACAGCTACGCCCATCAAACCTCAGCAGTTTTGAGCGAAACGTTTTTTTCGGAGGTCGTGTAAGAAGCGTTTGCCATGAGATTCGATCTTGGGCTACGGGGTTGATTCTGTGGTACAAGCGAGTATTGTTCATCATCGGCAACCTGTCGGCAAAGTGACACTGTCTTACATCTCGCGCAGAGAGAGACTTCCAATAATCATGATGGATGTTTGTGATTTCGGGTCTTTCGCCGCTGTCACACTGCAGTCGGAAATATGCCTCTGCAATGGAAACCTCCGCCCAATGCGGGGTGGGCCTGCCAGACCGATTACCGCCTCGGAGAAAACGGTATGCTTTGGAGGACACAAAAGTAGATGTATTTTCAAAATTGTCCGGGTGTCGAAGACTGTGTCCAAGCAATTTCAACCGATTAAAGGAAAATTGCTGCGAGGGTGTGGGTACCACCGAAAAACGATTAGCCAGCGTTGTGAGATACTCGTTTGAACACGGAGCTTCGAAAGGTGCTATAACTCCATGGTAGTACGAGGACTTCTTCCGAAAGATCCGCCGCAAATTCTTGAAGTGAAAGGAGTCCGCCCTACGCTGTTGGGCTCCATCCCATACGCCAAAATCGACATCACAAAAGATCGGTACACAGTGAGCTTCCATTTACAGGGCAGCCCCGAATGGCTAAAAAATGGCTTTAACTGTTTCGATGCAGCAACTGCTTTGGAGATTCGCTGGCTGACGGTACTTCTTGCATTACTCAAGGTCAAAGTCATAAAGCAACGGCGATGGCAAAACAGACACATGCACGCAATGGAGCTTTGCAAAACATGAACCCAATTGTGGCCAGTGACAGCGGTATGCAAATTTGGAATTGTGACGATTGCGCAACAAACCTGGAAACTGAAAGACTACTTACACTTTAAGAAGCAAAACTCCATCACACGCACACACACACAATCCCCCACTTCTTAAGGGGGGGGTTAACAATTGCCGAAGGCATTTCTGGACCCGCCCCCCCACCCCCATCCGAGATCAAGTTACATGGCATGCTTCAGAGGAGGGGGGGTCAGGGGTTGTTCGCACATGTTCGGTGTGGGGGCCACATCAAGACGATTTTTCGGCAATTTATTTCTAGCCACTGAAGGACCCCGAACACGAAAGGAAAAATGCCGAAAGGAAAAATGCCGAAAGGGGGGCGCCCCCCCCTGTTTCGGCATTATTAAGGGTGGGGGATCACACACACACACACACCGCATTGCCAAGCTCAACAAAATACAGATAAACCCCAAACCCTACAACGAGCTGCGGGCAACAAGCCTTAAGCCCTAAAATGGGTAGTGATCCGTAGTCGTAGACTTTGCAAGCAGCAATTGATAGCGCAGCAACCCGACCACGCGAACCTACCCTTATGTTGGACCGTGAAGATGAAACTTTAAAGTTTCGGGGAACCCTGAACGGTAAAGCGTCAAACTTCGCGCGAAAACGAACCATGCTCAAGGAAGCCCCATACCCGCATATGAACCCGCAGAACCAACTGTAGATATCGAACCACATGACCAAAAGTAAAATACTTACACAGACACTGCACCCCAGAACGAAGCATTGAAACAACACCCCTGGAACCCTGGCCGTTCGCAACAAGCGGCTTGTCAAAATTGAACTTAACCTAAGTTAAAGTCGCCAAGCAGCAGAGGGCGCCAAACACCAAAACAGATGCTGGCAAAGCAGACGTGCAAACGCTGGACCCGGCCGCAGCAAACCTTTCACTCTATAGACCACTGAAGAAAGTGCAAGCCAAACCATTATACACACACACGGCCCAGTTCAAAAAACTCAAAAAAAAAACTACCGATACGATACAAACCCTGAAACGACCGACGAGCATTAAGCCCTATCATGGTCGGTGAGCCATAGACCTTGCAAGCAGCAATGGACAGCGAAGGGTCTAGCCGCGCGAAATCGGCTTCTCAGACCCTAAACCTTTGAACGACTGCTGCCGGGAGCAAGCCTAATCCTAAAGCGCATGTTGGAGCATGAACATTAAGCCAAAAAGCACAAAACACAGTCAACAGGGCATGATGCCCGTGCCGATCCCAAACCCGCGAGAGCAACGATACATACTACACCGAAAACCGACTTGAGGAACCAGCAAGCCTGAAACCCTGTAGCCAACCGCACGCAGCACAAATCGTAGACGCTGCAGCGCTTGGTGTTTGCGACAAACTCACGTATCTACGATGGTTAGCCACCCAGACTCCCGCAGACCAGGCTGAACAAAGTGGTGCAGTTTGGCAATGGATGGTTGACCAATCATTGAAAGCCCGAAAACTCCCGCTGGCACCATCAAAACCAAAGGTCTGAAATGAATGAAGAACAGCAAACCTCAGACCCATGCTAAAGTGGCCGATGAGGTGCCAGCCTCAATTTGACCAGCGGACTGACACAACAACTTCAAAAGCAACGGCGAATCATCGACGCTAATTGAACGACGGATGGGTAAGCAAAACTCGTGCAGCAGCTCGAACATTCTACGCTGATGAACCATGAACTGCAATCAGTCGCTCCAAGGGAATGAAACCCGCGACCCTCCAAGGACTGATGGCACGGGCGGCTAACTGGCTGGTTCTCAACAACCCTAAACCGCATCATTGGTAGCACATCCTGGCGAACTCGAATCCCTCACTCAGAAACCTCATTGCCAGATGTCAACTGATGTCAACCCCACACGGTTGGGAGCAAACCTGGCGAACCCGGAGGCTCGAAAAAATTTGCGGCATGGCCCATGAATGCCCCAAGAACAGTACGGCCTCTGATGATTGCGTCTTGCCCTTCGGATCTGTCGGGCAAGCTCTCCGCCTTTTGGGCTTCAGCTGGTGTACCGATGGCGCCGGTTTACATTAACACCAGTGCCTTCGCAGAAGTCCATGATGATGCACAGCACGCCAGCCTTGTCAGAAACGCTAGCCGCTAGTGTCACCCCCAATGTCCAGATGTCGAAGCTCCAACACAACAGCGCCTCACAAAAGCTGTCGCGGTAACGGACAACGAAAGGATGCCGCAAGGATCCCAGGAGTCGACCCTCCTGAAAGAGCGAACGCAGAGCGAACGCAATGCAAGGAGCCTCCACTACGTCACTGGCGCAAGGCGATGCAATGTGTGGTTTGCCCAGCCTTGGCAGCAGCTTCGGCCTCGCGAGGCTCTTTAAGGACCAAAACCACAGAACGTCGCACTTTCTCCTAAGCGCCTCCTTCTTGGATGCCTGAGTGATGTCCATTACCTGCTGCGATTTCGGCACTCTCTTGAACTGGTCAAAGCGAAACACCGCGCCTTGCATACCGCCTGTGTCCCATCCGATGCCTCAACCAAAAGAGCCTTGGCAAAGGAGCCTTCACCTGCTGCATTCGGATCTCGCCTCTCAGAATTTCCTCTCTGCACTTCGCATAGCAAATGCCTGGCCTATCTGCCTCACTTCCCTCCATCCGCGTGCAGCCAGGACGTTCTCAACATCCTCACACAATGGTGTGAGACAGCCTGATCCTGCTGGACACACCACAGCTACGGGCCACTCCTCACGCGCGTATACCATCTGGACGAGATTCGGCCCCTTTCCCGGAACCGAAATCTCATCTGAAGCCGAATGTCAGCGGACAGCATTTATTCTCAGGCTCGCAATAGCATGGTTGATCCATGATGTATGCTTATGTATGCTTGCAAAGGTTGGTACAGTTTTTGGAGCAAGAACCGCTTCTCGGTTGTTGTTCTGCAGATACTTTTCGCTCGAAGCAAACCTTCGCGTGTGAGAGCTCAGTCGAAGACATCACAACCCCTACGCGCACTTGGTGAGCCTTGACTTTTCCGATGAAGGCGGAAACATTCGGGCAAACACACCTCTCAACACGTCCTGCCACTCTGTCAATGTTGGCATGACATCACCTGTACGTCAATGGAGGTCACGACGCCGACAAGCGCCTGATGTAATCCTTCTGAATGCTCCTCTGTGCATGGTAGCAGTGCTTCCTCCAGCTTCTGTTCGTCGCGAGGTTCCAAGACTCGCGTCCACATTCGTCGGACTCGTGACTGTGCGCACCATCACAACTCAGCCCGCTCGGCTTTCTGAGCGCTCCTGGCCCGCTTTGTGAGCTCGTCAAGCACTGCCTCAAGGCAAAACATGACAAAGGCGGCCATCAATGGAAAATCAGCGGGCCAGCAGAAGAGGAAAGCTGAGGCTCTGACAGTACCCAGGCGGTGCAAGTCGGAGGTTTTCAATTGTGGCAGAAGAGGCAACACCTGATTCCAAAAGAACGATGGTCCCACATGGCCCCTCGGTTCTACCACGCAAAGACGGACAGCTGCTCGTCTTGCACACGAAGCCGGTGTAGACAAGTTCAAAGGCAGGAGACATTGTAGAAACCACTCAAATTGACAGACTGTCACCCAAAGAAGCGTGCGAAATGCTAGGACGTCGATGCCTGGCCAAGCTCCAACTTCATCGCTTCAGCGGTTCCTCGGCCTTCTAAGCACAGAAGTGACAAGTCTCGACGACAGGTCATTGGCCTTCCCATTTCTTTGAAGCCACATTCTTCTCCTTTGCAAGACAAGCATCTGCTGTTTTCGCTGTGTTCACACGAAGCCTTCGGAGAATCGAGCTTCGGAGCTGGCAGAGGCTTCTGCCTAGTCTCCACAGGAGGCACAAGCGACATGCGACAGAGACATGCGACTGGGATGCCCGCTGGTGCCTCGGGGCAGGCCGAGGCTTGCGAGGGCTTCTTGACTGTGCCTCGTGGCTGAGAACTGCAAGACAATACCAAGGCTTCATCTAGCAGCTCTAGCTCTCACCTTCGAGGACCCTTGCCCCAAAGATGTGTTTTTTCAGAGTTAGGAAAGCTCTCGAGATAGCACAAATGCACGGCCTGAGGAACGTTTTTACTGACACCGGCAAACATCGTTCACTGACTGCGGCATGCGCACTTAGGTGCCGACGCCAGTGCCACTGGCTGATGACAAGCACTCTTCCAAGCACAGCTGTGTGTGATTCAGCTGCCTTCATTCGCACAAGAGCAACGACTGGACAAGAAGCACCGATACCACAACACCCAGGACCCGACCGGTTGTCCCAATAGAGCTGCTGCAACTTCTCCTAAAAGTCAGCACACACGTAGAATGAACATTTCCTGGAAAAACAACATTCTCAATGTCATGGACAAAGTGGCAAGGACGCTCGATTGCAACCAGTGTGCAATTCAGAAGCATCTACATGACGTGGCTGGCTTGTCGACATATTGTGCAAGTCAGGTCCTTGTGGGACACATGTCGAGATGTCAGTGCTGCTCTCAGCACTGCACGAGGCTTGCGCAATCAGAGCACCCAATCCCTTCTGGTGCCCCAAACCAACCAGCAGCGTAAGGTCCTCTCCCAACTCTTCGACGAACATCTTGCAGAATGCTGCCAGCCTTTTGTCATAGTCCTGGCAAGCCACATCCCGTCCGTTCATCTGGAGTGTCCAGGACTTTAGGCCTAGACTGCATAAGGAACAGCAAGGGCAACAACGTCAGCGACACCCCCATGCCCATCTGGCCGAATCCAAGTCCGGGAATGTGGTCTTTGATACCCGGTCCGAATAGGTACTTCTTGCCCTTTCACAGCAGCCGTCTCGATTTGGAGATTGCAAAAAAGCAACAAGGACAAATGCCACCTCATGCTGCTTCACGCCGAACCTCAGTTCATGCGATGGGGAAGCAACGATGGACGCAAACATTGCGACAGTCTTCGTAGGTTGCGGCAAGGGCGCTCGTTTTTTGTGAACATAGTGTCGCAGACCTTGTGCAGACCGATGATTAAGCCATCTCTCAACCAGTCTGTCGTGTGCCTCATCGATTATTTCCTTGGCTCGTGCTACATCACTACCGTGGAAGGACCAAAATCCTAGGACTTAGGAGTTCAAACTTCACTCGCTAGGAAAGCCAAGCCTCCAGAAACTCATACGAAGGCACGGATGTTCTTCCCGCAAAGCGTTGAACAAGTGTCCTGTGAGAGTCCCACTGTGACATTGCAACGTAGCTGACGTAGCTACCATCCACTCCGATGCAAGAGCACGTCCTGTTTATCTTGAAGAAGGATGCCTTGGCAGGGGGACGTGGCCCCAGTGGGCTTAAGATGTAAGTGGCTAGGGCAAGGCAGGTTGCCGAGCAAGCATCGCACCTGAACCACTCGAAGTCGTCATCTTGGGCCTGGAAGAAATGCCAGGCACTGGCCCACCGCTAACTTGACAACTCTTTCCGATTTCCAAGCAAGAAACTGCCTGGACGGAAAGAGCACAGAGACAAAGAAACCATGCACGGATTGCACCTGCAGCTGAGAGAAAGCTGTGGCACTTGCACACTTCTCGATGTTTACATCCCAAAATATTTTAAGTCCGTCACGAGCCATCTTGCCAATCATGCATCTTGCAGCAGGACCGCTAATCCGTTCACAGCCTTGAGATGCTGAAACGCTTTCCGTGTGCCAGGCTGCCAGGCCATGCCGGCTCTGAAGGACGGAACTTGAAGCCAACCTTCTTTCGAAACGGGTCGGGTCTGCTCTGAGTGGTTTGACCACAGAGCGAAAAATTAAAGAGCAGGCAGCAGGCTCTCAAAATCTCGAGGCCTTCTTTGTCCTGCATTGCTGTTTGTGAAACGACACAATGTGTGCAGTTGTCTAAGCTTCAAGCAGTCACAAACAGACCACTCAGCCCTTGCTGTTCCGTTGGGTCAGATCTAACATCACGTCAGGCACGCACGCCGGCCGCTCTTGCGAGTTTGTCCTGGAGGGAGCTCAACACACCAAATCCAAGTTCGTCGTAAACCTCATTATGCCTGACCACTGCTCATGGTCATGCGGCATACACGACTCCTTGCCAAGCCGAGCTCGTTTGGAAAGCTTCTTCTTCCTGCGACTGGAGGCTTCCGCTGAACTGACCGCCTTTGCTGTCGAAGCAGCCTAGGATTCGGAAAACACGCAATTTCCACAGTTGCACATCCTTTGCACATCCACAAGGGGGCACAGATAAACTGCTCGCAATACAAACTTCACAAAATCCACGCTCTTTTGACGGAAGGCCAGATACGGGCGGTAGCTCCAGTGCTTGAACCAAGGCCACCTTCCATCACAAGTAGAGGCACTGAACCAGCTCCTGCAACGTGCAGATGCCACACTTGATTGTCTGGTGCTCATCAGGCGCCACATGTCTCAGGTAGAAACGCTTGGCGTTGCTTGTTGAACTGCTGCCAGGGCTTGTCCTACATAGAACTTCCCGGAACAGTCCTCGACGAACAGGAAGTCATTGAACTGGTTGACACCTGAATATCTCTCGGACCATGTGCTGTCATAAACCTCTGTCGCAGCAGTTGAGTAATGAAATGATCCTAGATTAGCCAAGCATCATTCATCTTGTCGACACTGGGGAATTCAACTCCAGTAGTGCTTCGAAACTGCTTGTCTTCGCGCAGAATGTCCTCGTAAGCAGTCATACAGCTGTCCTCGCCGAGTCACTCGATGACTCACATTGGTGTTCCACCAAGCTTCTGCAGCGAAGCTGAACGCCGCTATATCGCGCTGGCAGGCTTCGAGAACGATGTCCTTCGACAACGCATGAAGGAGTGTCATATGTCAAGCCAGTCCGCTGCTACGATCATTTCAAGTCCTTGTCACGTTGCAAACGAGGCGAAGCAAAATGCAGTGCCAAGGCATTTTGCCGAATGGCTGCATGAACAACATCCGGGTCACTCTGCAGCTCCTGGTCAAACATCGCTAGCTTACAGCGTGATCGAAACAAAATGAACGGCGCGCTTGCTGCGGAAGCCAACTGGACAAGAAGATGATCCCACTTACATCAGATCATCTGTCCTTGTCGACATACTTGAGGGCATGCCCTGCACTTGTAACTGCCGCCAGTGCCACTCCTTTGTCCTTCTTGAACCGTTCCTGATGCGGCCAGCAGGTTGCTGGGGCTCGGCAAGAGTTACTGGCTCGACAAGATGCCGGTGCCCATTGAAGCGCAATGCCGTTGGCAGAAACGGCTGCAAGGTTCACCTGGCCAGAAGCTCTGGGACGGCTTTGTCGGCCCGCCTGCCCCCCCAAAAGACGGTCATAATGGCCAGCAAGTGGCCGCTTCGCTTCAGCAGTGTGGTGGATTACAGTTTGGCTGGCTTGTAACCGCAAGAAGAATTCCAACACTTGTTTCACGATGGGTTTAGGATCGTCTCCCATTCAAACGAAGTTGACGAGAACATTGATCAACCGCTTCCTAAAACATAACAAGCACCCAAGTCAAGTCAACCGACTACTTCATGGTTAAGGCCCAAGGACAGCATCTTGCTCATAAAGCCATACAGCTCACAAACATTGGAATCCGGCGGAAAAATCGTCAATGACCTTCGACCCTCCGTGCAAACACTTGGTTTTACGTGTTGCATTCCCTTCGGTCTCTCTGCGTCTTGAAGGCATGCTCGAACACAATGAATACACTATGATGGATGTTGCAGTAAGCTGCAATTAGTATTTTCACCCGAGGATGCGCCAGAACAGCGTGCATCGACTGCGGATCGACTCCAAGCTCTGTCCTCTTGCTAGGTGAAGTAGTTCAACCGTGCAATGGCATGTGCTATAATCTTCTCAGGCCGGTCGTTCCAGTGTGTTCAACCAACAAGACAACCGAATTGACGCAAGCACCGTCACCCGCACACATCTGAAAATGCCCATCCATTGGAAGTCCTGACATCAAAATGGAAGAAATTTGCTCCCTTGCCTCACGGTTCTGGCGATCCAAGTCGTCCAAGCCGGCAAGTGCCGAGCTTCGCGCGGACACTCGCGCGACCAAACATGCTTGTCGGACAGACCTGTCCTGCCAAGATTGCGATAGTCACACACTGTTCCCGCCATCAAAAGCATTGCAAATAAATTGTGAACTGATCATCCAGATGCAACACCCTGGTTCCTCCATTCCAATAGGAATCGGTGGAAGAATGCCGCGCATCAGGAACATCAAATTTATCTTACCACATGCTTAACACAATACAAGCATGTTCCGTTTTGCACAATAGCTTCTTGTACACTTGCAGAATGATCAACTCTGAATCGGCCTACACGCATCAGAGGCAACTGTGCTTCATGTTGTTAAAATAGTGAATGTCACGGCATTGAAATGCACCACGTCCTGACCACGTCTACTCGCAGCAACAACGCGGCATTTGAGCCGACATTCCGAAAAGCCTTCCAACCACCTTTTTGTTGTGGTTCGCAACATGCTAGCAGAGATCCTTTTAACAGCGTTCTTTTTCTGGACCTCCGGTGCTTGTTTTCGACCTCTGCCGGAGAGACGCACACACAAGGCGAGATGAGAAGCAAATCGCAAATCAGGAATTCGGCAAATTAGGAAACAAAAGCCAAGCAAGAGAAAATAAAGGGACAAAGCTACACGCAACAGACAACAAAAATCAAAAAAACGCTTTTCTTCACACACAACAAGGAGAAAGCC